GTAATTTGGTGAGAAATTTATGTTCCACAGTCCATCTAGTTGGCCGTCTACATTCTTGTGACCAACTTATTACCAATTGAACTAAACTCCTATAGAAATCAAATTCAAAGAGCCACGTGTTTACGATAGCAAAGTAAAATAGTTTCGCTCCGAATAACTTCACCATATCCCGGTGGAGGACAATAGTATCTAAGAGGCACTTTGGACAAGGTAGAAGAATTTCTGTGGTTCTCACATGAGGGATTACAGCAGCCTCATTCAACTTTTCCCTAATTAATAAAGAAACTAATAAGAATAATAAGTTATCAATCGTACAACTTTTTAAACTAAGTCTCACGCGGAAACACTTCTGCTTCCTTGTAGACTAGTGAGAAAATACAACAACAAGTTCACTAATAACAATTACAAAACTACAATAAATATTAAGTTCTAAGAGCTGTATAATCATTCATCAAAACCATAAAATGTAGAAGGAATTCAGGAAACACAACAAACAAGCTTACCTGCACCCAGGCATCGATTTTATCTCCAAATAGTTTCAACTTGTCCGGAAAGATTTCCGAGAGGAGAACAATGTAGGATTTGATCGACAATTCATCCATCCGTTTTTGCAAAACCTCTACAACTGGAGGTGAACCTTGACGCCCTAATGTGCCCAAAATTATTCCAAAACATTTCGCCGACTTCGCTTTTTCAATCGCTAGTTTACGCATCGATCTCATTCGAGCATGATCATATGATTCCACAGTGAGGATTTTGTTATAGGGGTCATACATGTATGCGGTTAACGTAGGATTTGCAAGCATTGCTGATTCAAGATGAAAACGTCCATCACCAATAAAAACCATAAAATCCACTCCCGAGACTTTAGGCGAAGTACACCCCAGTAATTCACCAGGAGAAAGGGGCATTCTTTGTGGAACAATGACTTTGAACTCACAGTTCTCAAGAGATTCTTTGATAGCTGGTAGGCTAGAAACAAACTGGATTGTCGAAAATAGGGCAAGAGTTGAGTTGTGAGGAAAGACATTCTTGGCACTGTCAATGAAATGCCCAACATCGAACTTGATATCCACGAAAACATACCTGAAAATTAATAAAGAGTAATATAATCGAAAAATTCTCTACATTTTGAAAATTAGAAGCTTACAGAAAAGAAATATCTTCGACGGGAATGAGACAACTGTGACCGTAATGTACAAGTAAATCAACTCCCATCGCTTTAGCGGAAAAGTCATCCACACAGCAAGCACCATAGGTAACATCACCCATGACAATAGTATCAATTTCAGGATTAAAATCATTGTTATACTTTTTAGTGACTGTCTGTTCATCGAAATCATACTTTTTTGACCCAAAGTGCTTCAAAATTTCACAGAGAATTGTGGCAAAACGAAGCAAGCCTTCGGGCATCTGCAAGGCCACGCGTCTTGCCCTAAGAAAACGAACTCGCCATATTGTTTTATGTACTTCGAAGTTGTAATTGTTTGGCAGACCATTACTAATCACTGCATTCAATTCAGGGTCATTAAGAATCTCATCTGGTATACGATGTGGATTTACACGCTTAGGAGGCATTTTTGCAGTACGTGCCAACTTTGAGTGACCTCAAATTAGAATATATAAAATACCATAACGACGCATAAAGCTAAGTTCACGAATTGTTATGAAAAAAAATAGAAACACTGTATGATATAATATTTTTGTTCATGCAAATTAAAAAGCAAATTATTTATTCATTTTGTAATTGTATTTGGCAAATATTATTCTATCTTCATATATATTGAAATAAATATAATTCGTTCATTTTTAAGAAACCTCTACCTCACTGAATTTTATTTTGTATAAACGTGAAAATATATGACTAATTGCATGGACGGTAGTCAATAAGCTCAATTTAGAAAAGCACTGACCAAATCTCAGTGAATCTTTTTAGCAGAATTTTCTCAACGGTGCTGAGAAAGCGGAGCGGTTGGAGCAAAGAGAGTCTTTTGTAAACATGGAAACTATCGTGAAATTTTAATAATCTCTAATTATCTGAAAAGGCCTCAATACCACGCCCTCACTTACTTAACCTGAGCACTTCCCAAGCTATTTGACTGAGTTTTCAATATGCACTCACCTATTTATTCAAAGAGAAAGACGAGGACTACTGTTCTAGTTTATTTCTTTTAAATGTAAATGCTTTATACATTTAAACTTTTAAAATTGAATATAATTTAAGATATAATATAGTATAGAATATTTCCGTACTCTAGATTTTTAACGAAATAATGTGTGATCAAAGTTAAAAATGAGATTTTTATGGCACGTCTTCTTTAAAAAAAGGATGTCGCAATATTATTAACCATTTTCCCAGATACAACTATAAGTGCTCAATTGCAAGTCTAAACGTTGTTTCACGTTTTATTTCCCATTCTCATTCTTCATTGGTCATTGATTTTAAGTCTATTTTATGGCCCACTAATAAACTGAAAGCTGCACACCCATTATCGCAATTCGTGTAGTTAGCAAATCTTATTATTATTTCAAGTTTTTTTTATACATATTCAAACAATTTCAGATAATTTTATCAATAAGTCTGACAGCAATTAATTAAAAGACATGCTAATCCATCGTCTTGACATCAATAACAGATTTCAGCTGAGAAAAATAAAGGATGCTTTAAAATTTATGCATTTATCCTTAAATTTAATGTCATAGTGTAATGGAAATAATTTAACTTCCTACGAGTTCGCTTTATATGAATATTCTACTTAACAATTTTTAGTAGCAACGATTAATTTGTCATAACCAAAGAGTGTTTTCTCTTACTATATTGCTCATTAAAAATATTTAATCTCGAAATTGTCCTTGCCCTCTAGATGTTTATTAAGGAAATTATTTTGAATGCCATCCTAAGACATATCATGGCTAATTCGCTGGGGAAGAGGATCAGAATTCCGAATTTTCACTGCCCTACCACTACCTCATTTTCCGTCATTGTTCTTTTGGCATCTCGCTCAATTAAAATTAATGAGTTATTTTTTATAATTCAAAAGAATTTCAATCGATTCTACTCAAATCTTAATTTGTGAATAACGGTAATTTCAACCCCTGGCTGTTGCTTCCATATTTTCCGTAATATTTATCACATTCGTTAATTAGTTATTTGTTTATTTCAAGCATTTATAAGGGAACCATTTCACTACCAAACTGTTCATAAATTTTACGATTTTGTTCCAGCCCAAATTTCTACACATTTTCAATATATGTTACAAACTCAATGCAAGAATTTTTTGCTTACTTATTACAAACATGTGTCCTTTCAATAATAATGAGCTAAATTAGCGCTAAACAATCTGACTAGACAAAAAATCTTGTGCTACATGGGTGTCGTTTTCAGTCTCTCAGTGTCGGATCACATAACAAACTCCCACTTAGATAATGACGGCTCATATAATTGACCACCCCCACCCCCAGTCCTCAAAAGTGGCTCATGCAATTGACGCGGCATGAAACGATGCAATCTAAGTCGGATGTGTCTCGGGTCTTCCAGTAGGTAAAATGTGGGAGGTTTCAGTCCACCACTGCTACCAATTTAACGGCTAGTGTCTTAATCACTGAAGTTGAAGTTAGTATTCCCCATGATTAGCACTAAACCGTTTTCATAAGCGACCACTAATAGTCTATAGGTATCAGTTGTCTACTACCGTAGGGAATTGAATTTTACAAAGTTTAGCGCCTACTTATTTGCAACGATTTTTAATGATACCAAGCGATTCGTTTATTAATGACTATATTATATATGACGGGGCACGCGATAGACTTACCTCCACAGCAAAAAGTTTATTAATCGGCAGTTGACTTCTGATTTCAAACTACCATGACCCCATTACATTTCATATTCGAATAATTCCATAGTATTCACCTCACCTTTTTTCTACCTTTGTGTCTGTCTGTCTCTTTTACGTCTGTGAATCATTATTCTGTCCCCCTCTCCACTTTTTACCAGTTGGATATTCATCTTCCTTTCTGTGAGGCCCGAAGTCAACTAAAGGGCTAATGATACCTATCATAACGCCTGCCATTTGAAATAAATAAATAAATAACAATCAAAACGCCTGCTATTTGAAATAAATATATTATATATGACTCTGTTTTAATCAAATTAGTAGCTCTCGAATGTAGAAAGACGAATTTAGCTTAAAGTTCAAAACCGTAGCTCCACACCTCTGGGATAAAGGTTGTCAGGTGTTAAAAGACTCTGGAGTAATTTTTCAGCGTATCTCGAATTCAATGAAAAAGGGCAAAGAAGGCCAGATTTTGAAAGTATTAGGTACACAGACGAACCAAGAGCGCTATACATTGTTGGCTTCAGTTAGTACCCACTAATGATCCCATAGCTCTATAGATGACCCGTCTTTCCCGCTGCTTCGACTAGGAAAACTGCAATAATTTTAGCCCACACCCCTGAGAAAACACTATCCCAATCGAACGACCTCAAAAGATGCAAGCTCTACACTTATTATCATTATTATTATTCTTGGTACAATTAAAGATAGGTGCAAAATTTGATATCAACACTGAAACTCGTGTGTGTGTGTGTGCCTAATGAACGAAAGACAAGAAAATTACCCGAAGGACAAGTGGCATTTATCCGCACTCCTGTCTTAATCATCTTATCGTCCGTAAAAAATGCACTCCTAAAAATAAATGAACGAATTATGGAAATGCAGCGTTTTGTCAAGGGAACAAAAGGCTTATACAAACACACACACACTCGTCACAATGGTATTTAGGAAAAAGAGGACTTTTTCTTCTCTAAACTGACTATTCAGCTGTTAGCCAATAGGTGATTTTAGAGTTGAGTTGTGTCGTGAGCGTACGATTCAAATGGAATTACACACAATTTATAGCGAGAAGGCATTTTAATGCAAAACACAAGTAACCCAATAGGCTGTTTAGGATAGTTGAAACTTGTTCTTTATTTCAATTCCACGAGTCATCTTCTGCGTTCAAGTTGTGCGAATTCATTTAAAAGTATTTATTTATTTATAACAAATGGCAGGCGTTTTGATAGTTATCATTAGCCCTTTAGTTGACTTCGGGCTTCACAGAGGGGAGGATGAACATCAAATTGAGAATATTCGGGAGGGGGGGGGGGATAGAAGAGTGATTCACAGATGTAAAAGAAACAGGCACAAAGGCTCAGAAAGGGTAAGATGAGTACTCTGGTAGGGGTCGAATATGACATACAGTGGGGGTGATGGTTGTTTAAAGTGAGAAGTCAACTGCCGGATAGTAGACTTTTTTGCCGTATGATTATACGTTGCCCAGGGTGCACCACGCGGAGGTAAGTCTGTTCCACGTCCCTCATTTAAA